AGAAGCCAACCAGGCAGCCAGACGCAGAATTTTTATTGGATAGGGGTAGTGTTACTGTTACATGAAGAGTCTGATTTTGGAACTAAACTGTAATTTTATAATTAGTGGTTTCTGGTGAAATAAAGGCAAAATTCTTCTCAAAATATAAATGTCCCAGTGTCTTAATACAGAGAATGTAGAAGGTTGCCTTTTGGGAAGAGCTACTTAGAAATGGAGAGCATATGATGATACTTTCTTACTCCTTTCCTAACAGAGCATCTGACAGCAAGATCTTGTTTAAGCTTGATGATAAGCAAAGGAGTAGCTTTGCAGAGGTGCATGTATATTTATAGTTAGAATTGTACTAAAGTACTTTGCTGAATCCATCTTCTTTACATGTTAGTAACATAAGAACTTAATTCTCTTAATGTTCATCTTCAGAGCTTGTGTTCGGTATTTATCAGCTTCCCCCACATAAGTTGACTGTGCTCTCTTCGTTAAAACTATCAGGAGTTTTTTAGTGACAAGTTGAACAAAACAGTCTGTAAATTCAAAATATATATTGCAGTGTTTTCCTAGGAAGTCAATCACTTTCCATTAGTATTGAAGCGGTAACATTTCATCTCTGTCCTCCTTTCGTGCCTTTGCCTTCTTGTAAACTTTGTGACTCTTCTCTGTTAAACAGAAACCATGAAAAGCAAATGCTTTGATTCAATACGTGGAATAATTTCAAAAAGAGAAGCCACAGGCTTATTGTTTTTTGCAATGATACCTATTAATTTCAAGTTTACAGTGCTGGGTTTTGGGACAGCTTTTAAGAAGTGTTGAGAGTTTAGTATGTATTTAATGAGATTTAACTTAATCTGTCTACCTTCCGCTTAAGGATAGGGAAAGGGGAAAAGCGAGTGAGATTTCCCATAATTCAGGTAACTGGTAAGCATTTTTATTTACTTGCTAAGGAAGGGCTCAGTTATGGGAAAACCACTCACCTGAAGGTGGCAGTTACAGAGAGGGAACAGAAGAGATAAGGCCCTTTAGGTTTTATTGTGTTATGACTACACACCAAGAGAAGATAGGGGTATGGTCAATATACAGTGAGTATCTGTCTTCTCTTTAGGGCATGTTAAGTACTTTGTTTTCTTACGCTTTGATACTCTAAGTGCAGTTCATGGCACTAAGAAGAGGTAGAAAAAAATTAGTGAAAAAACCTCAACCTAGGACATCTGTTTACTAGATTTTTTTCCCCACTTCTGAGTCCTCTTCACTTTTCATCTATGATATTATTATTAGATCTATGCATAATAAAGTTGTAAAAGAACTGACAAGAAAACCCCAAACCCCAGAGTTAACAATCAGTTACGGATTTTGGTTTTCCTTGATTTGACCTTTAGATCTCAAAACTACAATGCTAATGTGACGTAGGGCTGCAATAACAGCCCTGTAATTTATGGTGCTGTCAGATACCACTGATGTTTTTCATTCAGAGTATCCCCATGGATGATACAAATGCTAAAATAAGCAATATCTGTAGGAAGAGGCAATAATTTTATTAGACCAGCTGATACAATCAGAGAAAACAGACAAGCCCATGGACAATTACTCCATGACATTGTTGCATCTAAGATTAAAGTTTTCTTCCAGTGAAATGGCATTTACCATAGCAGTCATTTAATAATATATACATAATTTTACGTGTGTCGTACAATGAACTGAAAAGGAGTTTTCTTCATTAATATATTCACGAGGCTTTGGAAGACCCTTGTTAAATACAGATACAAAATCTGCCTTGAATCCCTGGACTTGACTAATCTGACCTTTTAAAATTCTAGCAGTACCATCTTATTACATGTGTCTTTTGTGAAGGCATAGTTGTCTGTGGAGCATTGCAATGTGACATACATTCAGAGAAGATAACCAGCGATATCCGGAGTCTTTTTTCCATGCTTGTTGTAAGGGCAGAACATAGCACTGCGTGGTCTTTTCTTGAGAAGGATCATGGAAATTCATAGACCTGTCAGTTATGGATGTTAAGGAGAGTGGTGTTTTTCTTAACTGATTTGGACAGCTTGTCATCCTTTGCCAACACCTTAGAAAATGTGTCTGCAGCCTGCCTAATGCCTTAATCCCTGCTGTTTGCTTCATTCTGCAGATGAAGGCACAGTAAAAGCTGTTCTGTAGTGATGTACACTCTGAAATAATCCCTATACCGAGACAGTTAATGTTCTCAGAGCTACATTTGGTGTGCAAGACTTTACTGTCTTACCTTCCCAATATACTCATCTGGTACAACTGTACAGGACAAGATCCTTGTACCATGAGAAATCATTCTACTTCAGTGGGCTCTGGCAATGTAATGTGCTTTTTTTATCATTTCCCATAATTCTCTGACTTCCAGTTAATTTTGTTGAATAATGTAATACAAAGTTAGCAAGGCAACAGTCTACTGCTGTTGTCTCTTCAAAACCTCTTTAAAATTAGGAATAGATTCAGATTTAGCCTGGCTCTTCCTGGAAGTATCGTTAACTGAATGACTTTTGGAGGCAGGTGGCTTCTGTTTGAAATGGAGCTTTGTCTATACTAAAGAACACAGTGAAGCGGATGAGGGTGGGATAATCTGGTAGTGTTTTGTTGAACTTAGTTACTTGCATCCTGAACTATGTATTTTTTCTAAAGCAGTTGATCATTTCTTTCAGTTTTGTTAGACTGCACATATTTACCACTTTTATAAATTTCTCAAGGCTGTAATTATTTCTGTTGATAGAACATTATTTTTTTCTGAAGCAGCTCTTTTACAGTGCCTTCTTAGCAGTATCCTTTTTTGGCATCCCAGATTGGTTTCGAATTAATTGAACTATCTTTGAAATTATGGAAACTTGCTTCATCTCTGATCTGTCTGTTGAGTGGAATCCTTAGTAGGTATCTCATCAAGGGGAGATTTAAGTCAGATGCCTCAAATCAAGTGTGAAAGGACGTTGAAGACACAGTATTTTGGTCTTTATTGTGTATGTTTCCTGGTATTTTTATCATATGCAGCACTTACAGAGTTAATGTTTTGCCTGATAGGTTGTCAGAAATTCTTTTAGGCATGATGGTAATGTAGTTTTAGTCTGCGTACCTTTTCTGCTTCATCTTGTTTGGCATCCCTTTCAAACAGAAAATAATAATGTGCTTTGGGTCTAATAACAGTGTTTGCAAAACACAGTTTTCTTGAGCTTCCTGTAGGAAGGGTCATAAATTTATCCAGACCAATTTATTTATTTTGTCTTTGCAATTCTGTGTTATGTACATGGAAAAAAAGTCAGCTTTATAGATGAAAATGTTGTAGCCCTCTTGAAGAGTTTTTGTGAAAAGCAGGAACTGTAGATGAGTAATTTCTGCATGTTTTCTGTCCAGTTTTCTTACTGAGAAGTTTTCAGTAGCTTATAAATTTACTGTGAAAGAACACTGCTAATTGACTCATGCTGTCACGTTCCGAGTGTCACATTAGAAGACACCAAATGTTAATGAGTTTAGGTAAATAATATAATTTAAACAGTAGTTTGTAAGTTTACATTGCCTTCTTTTTCATTAAGGTGTAAAAGTGAAAACTATCCTGTGTAGTTCCCATTGCCTTTCTTTAAGGCCTTGTTTAGATAAGTCTATATAGAAACTTGAGATGAAAACATGGTCTGATTAACAGTTAGTGTAAGGACTTAGGTTTTATGCTCATCTCTGTTGGCATTTCCATTTTTCTCCTTTCTGAATGAAGTCCTGGTACCATTGAAATCAATGTGAGTCATAAGAACTGACTTCCAGAAAGCAGAGGTTTTACTGCTCTGCATTAGATTCTCAGTCTATAAATCCAGCTATTTACTTTCACCCACCGCTCCAGCATGTGTTAAAGTTTTATAAATTGCTTGAAGTTTCTGTGCTGACATAAGAGACCAAACCATCAACTTCTACAAAATGGAAATTTTTTAGGGTTTGCCTTTGGGTTGTTTGTTTGGTTTTTTTAAAGTGCCTATTCTTCATGTTTATATTCATCTCTTTAAAATGCAAATTAATGCAAGTAAAGATACACACTTATTGCAAAACTGTTTGAGTTACCTGACAGGTTGTTGTATGGCTCAGCAATGGCAGAATTGAGATGTTTGACTGCCTTGCTGTTGTTCTCTGGAGCCCCATTTGATGGTGAAAGATTTTTTTTTCAGGGGCCTGCAGCTTTAAGTAATAATAATGAAAAGAGTAAGTTAATTTCTTTGTTTTCAACTCAATTTGTTCTGACTCTGTGTCAACCCCACGTCACGTCAGCCTAACAGTTCTTCAGAACTATATCAAATCATAACATAATTTTACAACAGCAGAAAAGTGTTACAAATAGAACTGTAGGTGTCACATTTCGGCTATAATGCAATGTGATTTTCAGGAGCAGTTAAGCAATTACAGTAAAGGCTAGCCCCATGATGTTAGAAACAAATTTAGCAATTTACAGGTTTTTAAGATTTTATGTCATAAGCTTTTGGTGTTGACAAAATGTTCTCAGGTTCCAAATTCACTTGCAGCTATTTTAAAGCTGATCTTTTTTAAGAATTACGCAACTCTGCACTTAAATTTTGGGAAAGGCCTATAAAATAAATAATGTTCTTAAACCTTGAGTTGCTTGTTATGTCTTCTTGTGGGACACTCGTCCCTACCATGAATTGCATGCATTTCAATACCCACCAGTTTGTTGTCTGGTCATAACTGTGCATGCTCAGACTTTAGAAATGTACTTCTTAACACCTTTCATGTTCGTGACCTGTGTTTTAAAGAATACTTATACTTGAGCAATTTAATTTGTAAAAGGAAAATGTCTGCAAATTTAATTAGCTGCTTACTTATTAACTGTAATTTAATTACTTGAACGTTGCATGTTGGAAAGAAGGTGAAAAAAAATGAAATGTATCTATTTACCAAATAAAGTGAAATTACATGAATTTATTTTTTAAAAAAAATAAATTATTTTCATGATCACCAAAATTCTGCTCTGTTTTTTATTCCAGAATCGAATGGAAGAAAGCAAAGCACTCTTTAGGACAATTATCACATATCCATGGTTCCAGAACTCTTCAGTCATTCTGTTCTTAAATAAAAAAGATCTCTTAGAGGAGAAAATTATGTACTCCCACCTAGTTGATTATTTTCCAGAGTATGACGGTAAGTATAATGACATCAGAGCTCATGCTCTCTTTACAATGCAGTAATGACAAATTTTAATAGCTTTGTCCAAATGCCAGACAGATACATCCTTTGATATATTTTGCTCTTTAAAAACACAAAGAAAGGTTTTTTTGCGATTTTTAATCATCTAAATTTTAAAAATATGATTGAACTCTTGTGGTATTTTTTTAGACTGCTAGGATTTCATTTTATGTTGTAATTAATTGTGGGTAGGATGGCAGAACCTTTCATGGGAAATTGGTGACTTTTAGGTGAGTATTCTCATACTGGCATTGAACCACATTCTGTCCTTTTTCATAAGTTGGGGCGAGGGTTTGAACTGAAGAACAAAAGCTAAAAGGAAATAGAAATGCATTCCTCACTTTTACACATTGCTTTCCATACTCTTGGTTTTTTGAGGTTTGGTTTCATATAAGGCTGAATATCTGAGAAACTGGTACCACTCCTTCCACCCTTCTATTATACCTCTTTTTTTACTTTATTTTCATTTTACATTATTTATGTGAGGCTTAATGTGCTTGTCCGTAAAAAAATTATGTGGATTGTACGGCTGTTTCTACTAAAACTGTACTTTCAAAAAGTTCTCCTGAGGTAAAAAGCTACGTATTTTGAGGCAACTGAGTGGAGGCCTTGGTAACAGAAAAATCAAACTCATAATAAGAGGTCTAAAGAACTAAATGCTTCTGTTTTAAAAAAAGAAATTCTGTTTTGTCCCACCAGGAAATGAATAACAGATTTGAAACCTGAATAAAAGATTACATCTCTCGTGTTCAAATGTGGAAAGTAATAATAGGAAAAATGTACATTTTGTTCATTTTGTTTCCTGTTTAAGGGGAAGGAAACAGTGAACAGCCTGAAGGATCAGACTGTATTATTTATGAGTCAGTGTAAGTGTAGTTTTGTAGTGCTATTCAGAAGAGAACTAGCAGTTGAATAAAAATTGCTGAATCTTTTGAGTTTACTTTGTGTAACAAGTTCCCTGGATGACATCCTGAAGGTGAGAAGACTCTACAGTCTGCTCTGTTTCCACTGCTCAAGTGACGATAAAGCCTGTGTGAAATGCTTGTCCAGGAAAAAAACAAAACCAAACCAAACCAAACCAAAGCCCGACCACTCAGCTCAGAGAAAGCCTGTTTCTCCTGTCCTTTGCCATTGATGAGGGTGAAAAGGGTTAGGGACTGGTAGGGCTGTTGAAGTCAAGACCTAGAAGTCTTCCAGTCTTTGTCTTTTAATTCTGCAGATCTTGCTGGACCTAACTCCATAGACAAGGTTGTGGTTTGTTGTTATTTCTTGTGGTGGCAGGGTGGGGTCCGTGGCTTGCAGAGGTCACTGTGCGGTCCCCTCTTCTGCCCAGCACACTTGGGATGTGGGAGGTGTGAAGATCTGAGGAAGGGATTGGAATTAGGTGCTTTTCAGCTGGATCACTTCTCCCATCCATTTTCCTGCACAAGGGAGAAAGTATCATAGGGATGGGAACGGCTAGCCAGGATGGCAAATGGGACTGATTAAATTAAGCTAAGCAGTTCAGTTGCACAGTGTGTTGTAACAGCATTGGAAGGAGAACTGGGGCATGCTCAGGGGTCAGTGTATCACATGAAGACATCCTTGCTTGGCTAGTACTAGAAGACCAACTCACAGACTAGAATGAAGAGCTGAGAGAGGCAGAGGGGACAAAGACAGAGGGGCTGTAGTTGGGAGGAAAAGAAGAGAAAAATGTTGATGTAGTACTTCTTATTTAGATCTTGAATGTATCATGTAGAGACTCTTTGAAAACTGCTGATTAGGGAGCAATGGACAAGAAACCTACTGATTTATATGGCAGTTCTTTTCCGAGTCTCCATATTACTTAGATCACATCCACTTTGCAATCTAAATTTAACGTTGACTCATTCATTTTTTTCCTAAATTCCTGAGGTCATATACATTCTTTCTAATCTCAATTTCCATACTTGAACTTCAGTCAAATGAAATGTTTAAATTACAAGGTAGTCAGTAGAGGTGTGATTAGGTAAGCAAATTTGGATACAGGCTTTGAGTAGTGCAGTAGATTTTGAGAGCACTGTGTCTAGCTACTGTGGAAATGTTCAACAAAATTCTAGGAAGTTGTTTAAAACAGTAAGTGTTGTATTTTGAAGAAATCTTTGTCTTTGAAAGTCTAAGAATTTTCTTCACAAGTACTGATAGTATGAGACTTATTGGTGCTGCTGTTTCTGTTGAGTCTGGGTGACCAAGTCATAGGCTGGAGCCTGTTGTGTTTTAGAAGCTGTAGAAGTGTTGAACAGTCCTCTGTCCTCTTCAGAGACCTTATGATCTGTTTACATCCTAAATGTCAGGAAATGTGTCATCTGTATATGAGTATGTATGTACATACATGTTCATGTGCATACACCCATGTGTTGCAGAATCTTACTTCCCTTCCACTTGGATTTGCAGCTCATTGGAAAGTATGTGATTTCTCTTCCATGTGTTCCCTACCTAAATTTTATAGAGTTATCCAAATTGGAAATGTTAGCAATTGTAAGCTTTTGAAGTATTAAAAATAAGGTTTATTATGCAGTTGTTGAAAAATATGTGGGCATGTGCTATCCCCCTCTGAAGGACAGAGCTACATATAACAGCTGAGTGCTGGTATTTATATAGCCATGTGAGAACAGGACTAATGAAGAAACTAGGAGGAGGAGGCAGCACAGAAAACATGCGTGTTCTGTAGAAACCCACATTCCAGAAACAGGGGAGCAAAGCGGTAATGGCCTTCAGAAATGGCACTGGAATAATGGAACAGAATTCAGCAGCTTGGGGCTAATGTTCTTGCTTCTGTGCTGCTCTTTTGGCTGTGAACATGAATGAATCCTCACTGTTCCAGGCTGGAATTCATTACTTTACCTTCTCTCTTCTGTAAGGCTGAACATGTGGTTTGGTTCCATAGACTCTCTGTCCTTCTGAGAATGACAACCTTAATTTAGATCTGGTATGATCATTACCATACATAATTTAGGTAACAAGTGATTTGTTAGAACGTAAGCCCTTTGCAGTCAAACGCCTTCAGCTGGAGAGCGTGTATATTTTATCACTGAAGTAAATTAAGTTCTGTTGGTGACTATTAAGTTCTACTGTCAGACCAACTGGGAATGTAACTTCATTACGCTACCATAAACCTCATAAAACTAGTAAATGTTGCAGTGCTAAAATAATTTAATTATAATTTAAATATAGTAGGTGTAGACTGAACATTCACCAATTCTATTAACATTTTAAAAAATTTATTAATATAGCTAATTTTTCGTTTTTCATTCCATGCAGTTGTAAATCATCTGTTTTAAACATTATCTTACCAAAGAAAGAGGATAGTCAGCAGGAAGAGAGCAGCTTTGAAAAAAATGACTTGGATGAACTTCTGAAATTTCCTGCTGTCTTTATTTTTCATAGTTCCTACCAGGAAGCGAGTAGCCACTATATGATACTATTGATAATTTAAAAGTTGCCTGTCTTTTCTTACCTGAGGACCACAGACTGAGCCTTTCTTGTTTTCTGTTAAAGGACTAACAAGTTGACTTTTAAGAAAACTGACTTTCCTCTTCTTAATTATCAGGGCCACAACGGGATGCACAAGCAGCACGAGAGTTCATCCTGAAGATGTTCGTAGACCTGAATCCAGACAGTGACAAAATTATCTACTCCCACTTCACATGCGCTACAGACACAGAGAATATCCGCTTCGTCTTTGCTGCTGTCAAGGACACGATCCTACAGTTGAACCTGAAGGAGTACAACCTGGTCTAACTGTTCTAGGAGGCCCTCCAAAACCAACTTTGCGCGATTGAAGATATACAAGAGGGACTGTATTATCTGTGAAAACAACTTGCATAATACTAATTTATTGCCGGCCTGGACTCTGTGAATATCCACAGAGTTTGTAGTTAATATTATGATTTTATTTAAACTATATGGAGGAAAAACAAAAGATGCTGAAGTACATTCACAGCACATTTCCTCATTTTTTAGGCAAAACCTTCTGACTCAACGTGTTTTAAATTCTCCGTCGTACATGTATAAAGGATAGCAGTTTTTTGCTATTGAAGCAAAATCAAGCTGGTTTCCTCCTTCCCTGACCCTTTCTCTCTCCTTCCTTCCCCTACCCCCTTATCTTTTACAAGGTACAATGGCCTTTTTTTTCCCAGTTGCATTCCTGGGTGGAATATTTTCTGTTGAGTGATTTGGTCAGGAAAGTACTATCATCAGAATTTAAGTCATCAGTCATTCTAATTTTACAGTATATACTTTCTGTGAAGGATAAAAAGTATTGATACTGTGATTTTTAAATTCTTGACATGGGTGTCTTCATTCTGTCTTCAGTTTTGAGACTAGAATTGCAAAATAGAATTACAGTTGTCTAAGGATATTAAATTTAACCATATTTTCACAGTTTGGAAAGATGGACAGAAGACAGTAATGAAATAATTAAGACACAACCTGGGAATATGTTAGAATCTCTTTCTCATTGCCATGTGCCATTTTTTTCTCTCTTCTTTTATTCACAAATGCCAAATAGAAATGTCATAGACACTACATTTTCCCCAGTGGCTACAGCCTGAAACAGTGGGGTTTTTTCAGTTGTGTGGGATTTTTTTCTTAAGTTAGAGCTTTTTTAAGTGTTCTTTTTCCACAGTAGAAAAATTATTTTTATTGTATAAGATCAGTGTTGCCAAATCTGGCTTTTTATAAAACCAATGCTCTTGAAGCAAGATACTGATTGAAATGCCAAACTGATGGGTTGGGAACTGACCTGATTGAGTCAACTGCCAAATGATAAACAAACACAGCTTCAGCTCATATGTTCCCTTTTTTAGAAAGTGTTCCATTTTCTAACGCCAAAAGCAACAGTGTGAGTGAATATGCTACAAGGTGCACTATGCACACGCGTGTGGTCTACTAATTTAAAGACAGTTTAAATCTCTCCGTATGTCAGATATGGCATGAGATTGTTTTCTGTAATAATAGCAAGGCACCTTTAGTTGTATATCAAGAAATCATTGATGAGAGATCATGTTTGAGAACCTTTCTTGATGAGGTTGCCTGTTAACTAACTGATCCACAGACATTTGATGGGCTTTCATGCAAAATAGCCTCTCTCAGTGTTCTTTAGAAAAGATTTATTAATGTAAATGAAACAAGTGAGAAAATCATTCTTGAAATTTAAATGTGCAATTTTTTAACAACAAAAATGCAGCACACATCGATGAGCCTTTATTCTGCAGCTTAGGTTGAAAGGTGTTTTTTGACCAGGTGCATGATTGCTAGCAAGCTATAGAAAACTCAGAGTTCAGACGTATAATTGGATTGATTATCTGCAATGCTAAGTAGCACTTAACACAGAAGTTGCTGCCTCATAGCAGCGGATGGGAGGTGGAAAAAAGCATGGCTTATTAGTTGGTTACCAAAGTTAACAATAAATACTAATGAGACGTTTTTCATCCTTAACCCTCCCAACTCCAAAACAACAATAATAAGAACAGTTGCTATTTTTTGCTCCCTCTTAAAACACCTTGTAATTTAAAACTGGTTGTAGGTATAGTGCAATTACAAATGCTATAATCATTGTACATACATCTATATATATATATATATGGCAGCATCCATATTGGCTTTGTAATCATTAATTTTTGGCAAATTGAATGTGCTGTATTGATATGTATCTATGTAATTGTATTGTATGTCTTATAGCTAATTCACATTTTAAATAATGTTATTTTATTTACTTTTTTAAGAGAGAAGAATGTAAATTTTGTCAGTTTATTTCTGACTAGGGATTTGTTGTTGTTTTTTATTTACAAAACAAAACAAAATTACTATAGTACAGAGCGGTACTAGCATCGTGCTGTATAAAATCATTTGCACATTCCTGAGTAGAAGTAGATTGGAGACACCTAGACAGAGGCCATTCACATTCAAAATAATGCTTAAATCCTGTCAGGGACTTTATACAGGTGTAGAAACCCGTCTTATTAGAAGAACTTATGCCGTTACAGATAGAATTGGAGCATAAGCTTTTAAATATAAATTTAATTTATATTTGGCAGATTCATGTAAGGTTACTTTTCTAATAGGCTTTATTAGAAAAGTAAATTTAGAGATATTTCAAACCATCGTACATAAGTACTAATGAGTATATTATGGTATTGCCCTAAAAACGCCCTGGAAAAATACAGAACATCAGATCAATCAAACAGTCGTTCAGAAACTGCAGAAACTGAGAGATAACAACAGTAACCAAAAAGTCACTATTGTTAACAATTTTAAGGAGTTAAAGCGTTTTATTTAATAAAGCTAAAGCAGGTAGATCTAGTTTATAAAAAATGACACTGACATTCTGAATAGGGGATCAGAGCAGTGACTCTTACATACAGCATAACAAAATTGGTCCTGATCTTGCTATAAATGCAACAGAGCTTCTGTTTTCACAGTTCCACTGTTGATGATATTCCTTCTTTTAACCTGGGAATATGTTGCCCATGCTAGATGCAGTGCTATAAACAGAACTACAGCCAAAAAGGAAAAAAACAAAAAACAAAAAACAAACAAAAAAAAAAAAACCAAAAACAAAAAACCATGAAAAACAACCAAAACAAAGAGTGGTGTCTAACAAAGATTTTGGTTTGTTTGTGTTTATTTTTATTTGGTTTATTTTCCTATGGGATGTTGGGTGGGCAAGAAGGAAATGCGGTTCTGAGTTTTGTATAAAAACAAAACAAAAGTTTACTCATGCTTTACAGTTATATTGTTATTGCAGAAGTTTTCAAGAGTGTGTGCCACTGGGCTACTTCTGGTATATTTTAGGTAAGTTGGACCTGTGGCAATGTTTAGATCATTTGAGCATGTTCTGGGAAAAAAAAAAAATCGGCATGCCAAGGCAAGCTTTACATGAATCACCTAACACAGCATTGCAGTGTGACAGTTTACAAAAACATTTCCTTTTTAAATGACACAGCTGTTCCCACTTGCAGTATATTCCGTTGTGGTGTAGTTGTTGTTGTTGTTGTTGTTGTTGTTGCCGTTGTTTTAATTGGTGGTTTCTACTATGCCTTATAGTGCTTGAGTCCAGAAATTTGTGCCTCTTAACATGAAGCCGAAGGCAAAAACATCAAGACAGAAACCTTTTAACTTTGCCAAAATTATGTGATTTCTTTGAATGTCATAAACGGGGGAGGAGGGAAGGAAAACGTCTTGGGAACCTGTGTATTCTAGATGTTCACTAGCACAAGAAAGCTGTAATACGTGTTTTACAGAAACCTTAAACTTGCCTTTTTCACAAATTAACTGGCGCTGTCCTTACATATATGGGATGATGCAGCTATAAGGGCAGTTTACTTTTTGTAATGCAGACTCTTTTGATTGTCAAGCTGTATGGACTGTAATTTTTAATCATACTGCCACATGATTGTGAATCACTTTTTTAAGTTTGGAAGTGGAGAAGAGACTTTTTATGCTGGATATCAGTCAGAATTGACTGCATGAGTTGCAAAAACTCTAAATGGGGGGGAAAGGGCTGCATATAAAGACATTGCTTAGACTCCCAGTCTTTGGTTGTAAGGTGCAGAAGACTTTCAGATTACTCAACCTCATGACCCTTCCCTTGTTGCACATTCTTCACAAAAGGATGAAATATTAGGAGAAAACAAAGACATGTTAACCCACATGAAAAAATAAAATTTAGCCGATTAATTTATTATATGTGCTGCTGTTCTTGGAGCTCTGTGCATGGTTATCCTGCAGACTATTACCTTAGTGAACTAATGAAGTGTGCACAGCATATTAACAAGGCCTACAAATGACCTACCTCTAGCTAAGAGACCTGTAAAGTAAATATGTTTTGGAGACATGGTCATAAGTTAGGAAATTAAAATGTCCTGGTGTAGGTAATTAACTACGCTATTTTAGAATGTCACACTTTTGTAAATATGGTCCCTCTTTTGACATAAACCATAAATTCTAAAATGTCGTGTGCATTAAACAACTGAAGCCATCTGTCACTGTCCAGTTTGTTAGTTTAGTAGAGATCTTGCAAAACCATATGTTTAGTTTGAGAAGAAGAGCTACTGATATTTCCTCTTTTTTGGCTTTTGGTTACTCATAAGACTTCGAGTTTTATCAGTCAAACCAGAAACATTTCTACGTCATCAACAATACATTGAGGGTCACTATTTAGCTACTTAAAGGGATTTTACTATTAGGTTTCACTCAAGCTTTTTCACAGTAGCTATGCTGCAGGGAAGAAAGGAATAGAGGGAGATTTTTAAGATAGTGTGAAAAATACAGCCAGATCGATCTTACTGTAAATCTGTTGGTTTGTTGTTTTTTTTCTCTTGAAATACAGTCTAAGCTGAAGTCTGTTGCTATATTCCTCATTTACTGTGCTGCAGGAAATCCTCATTTGACCAATTTTTTTTTTTTTTTTTTTTGAGGGGGAGTGTCAGATACATTTTTAAACTTGCAGTATTTAAAAATAAAGATCATATTTGCTGTTCTTAAAGTGTCATTTAAATGCATGTATTGTGCGTTGTCTGAGGGACAGAAATAAGGTGGGGTTTTTTGGAAAGCTAGTATTGTACAGTTACTGCCCCTCAAAAATGTTGCTGGTTAAAAATACAGTATTTTTGGCCATAACATTGTGCCATCTTCATTCCTTGAAATTTAGCTTTTCTGAAATACTATTTGGGCTTACTGTTCTCCCCAAATGCTCCTTATTATGATAAATGCTGGATAGATGTGTTATTCCATTATTACTTTTTAATTATATGTGCTCTGTTGTCATTATCTAAATACTAAAATTTCCAGAGTATCTTTTACAGCCAGAACGTTCAAAACATTTAAGGTTTGTTACAGTGGAAACAGTCATTTGACAGTAGCACTAAAGGGTTTTGTAAGTGGAAACTCAGAAGCATGGGGGAAAAGAAATGATTGTATCTCACTTACAGAAAACTCACAGAATTTGTAGACAGTGAGGTGAATTTCTTCAGCATTTTGGCTGATTGCAGTAGTACTTCAAGAGCAGACTGTTTCTTTGATTGTGTTTGACTATGTGGTGATAGGAATAATGGAAGGATACCTACATGTTGCTTTTCAGGAATCTGGCTCATATCTGATCAACAATCAGTGGAACTCAAATCTTCATTAGTGAAGAAATAGAATTTCAGACCACTTGCAAAAATGAGTTTGTTCTCTTATTATGTGGTCACAGCAGTATAAGTAAGATTTGTGGAGTCCAAACAGTCACCTAAGCAAGGACTTGAGTGAATGGTTCCTCATTTTTCTTTCTTGTTGCAGAATGTAAGGAAGAGGGATCATTGGGGAAGGATTTATTTTAT